ATATAATTTTGAAATGAAGTGTTCAAACATACATTTCAAACAACGATACAAAATGAAAAGCAAAATTGATTCCATCATTATACATATAAATTGTTATAAGTGCACAATTTCGTGCCCAACACGTTGAAAGCTAAGGAATTTGAAAAAAGATGGCCTAGAGAAAGAACACATAGAATATTTAAAGACGTTTACACAGCTGGAATACGTGACTAAAATCAGCCTCGAGGAGTTGAAAGCTTTAAGTAACGGAGTGAAGTTGCAGGAAGATATCGATACGACAGCCGGAAGGTAAAGTCGAAGGAAAAAGAAAATTTTAAAGTATGATCCTTCACGTTGGAAATAAGAGCGGGACATTATTTATGAATCACGTAGGATGTACTCAAGAACTACTCACGAACCGTACTAAATCTGTGATTCCTTGCTTTCTGTATTCGAACTGGAACACCGTTATATATTTTCCTTGCTTCTCAGATCAATCTATGTACTTATTTCCTTAATCGGATGTTCGAGCGGGAAGATAAAAGGTTAGTCTGAATATTCAAATATTCCAATACAAGAAATCTCTGAATTCTTCAAACATTTTTGGAGTAAAACGTTTTGATGCTTAAAGAAATACTGCAAGTGTTAATATTCAATCTCTAGTTTCTATAAATTCGTAGCTTGTATTTCCATATATTTTTTATATACTTATGCCTGTAAGTATTGCATTAAATAAACAAATAATTCGTTTAATTTGTTTAACCAGTTAGCTGTTTCACGAGTATACACGTCATCTTAAAACTCAAAATAATACTAATTCTTTCAACCACAAATCATTTATTTTTTTCAGACAAACATGTATATGATTCTTCTTATTTTTCCTTTAGTTTTTCGTTAAAAAGTTAATAACTATTTTCATCCTTTCAAAACGAACCAACGCAGCTATAAAACAAATATAATTGAAACATTTTCTTGGGCGTGTATTGCATGTTTTATTTCACTCGCAATTTCCTGCATGCATTTTCACCTTCTTCCACATTTCCATGCAAAAACCCGAGCAAAACGTTTCTAAAAGTGCCGCGGAAAATGATGGAAGATAACACAGCGCTTAATCTCCAGATTTTCAGAAACGTTTCTCAGCGGATATAACATTCACCAACTACCACCAAACTGTCCACGGTGAACGCCATAGAAGAAATGCAGAAGACCGAAAAGTGGTTCTCTAATTAATCCTATAATATCGCTGCAGTTACTTCCCCGGCGAAGTGAAACTTTCTGAAAGGATTCATGAAGCAAGGCAAGTCGGTCTCTTTTGCTCGGCAAGTTTTTAAGTATCGTCTCTGCCAAATTCACTTAAATCAACCTTCCAGCGAAAATAGATCTCTATTAATTAAGGACTCGTGGCCTGGAATGGACAAACTGAATTCAAAATTTGTTCCGTTATCGTCCCTTTGGAAAGACTAGTTTCATAGGACTTTAAGAACGTGGTCC